CGTCATTTTGCGAACGACACAACTATCGAATAATTTCACCCGATTATGCATGACACGTCGCATTTCGCTGTCGTCTTTGAAGAGAGCGACTCGGTCGATGTTCCGTGAATCGACTAGAGCGTTGATGATTACCGGATCGTCGGTAGTCATAGCCGTCAAAACGGTCACAACGTCTGATCTCCTGAGCTCCTGTGCGACATAGCTGCGCAACTGTTCGTTGCCGAACCTGTAATTAGCATCTTATCATGATTCACGTTCATGACGATGTGAACATATAGAACACCATACAGAAAGGATCACTGTATGGTTTGTATGATGCCACCCTCTACAGACGAGTCGACTATGATCGAAACGTTAAGTAAATTAAATTTACATCTTGTGCTGAACATGTCAGCTATAAAGGTATATCAAGGTATATGACAGTCATAAAATGCATGCGTCAGACAGTATAGTTATAGGTCTCGTACCCTCTGGCACGACTGCATAAGAGCACCAAGTCGTTCCTGTTACTCGTTTTTAGGCTGGTTGCACCGAAGCACAGTGGAGTGAATTCATTGCTAAGTAAATTAGCAGTTAATAAGAGAAAATTTATGCCGTGAATGGAGTTTGAAACTACTAAAGTGCAAAGCAAACCACTAACCTCGGGTCACCAAGTGCGTCAGATAGTAAACCGATTAATGCCAATGCGTTTCACTGCACAGACTGCAGCATCATCAGGACTGGACTGAGTACAATTGACCGCTTAAAGGCATTTATGCCCAACAAGCGAACAATGTTAATTTTTTTCAATTGGTTTACCGCATAAAGTCAAGAATTGTTACACTGTCTGAACAAAGTATTATGTCCACATGAAAATAAACCTTTTCATTTTGACCTGATTTTGCATATCAGTTCCGTGATTGCGCCCCACCTTTCACTGATGATTCGTTGCACATCCGGTTTTTCATTCATTGCCAGTATATGCAAAGAATTCTTTATCAACAGACTTAATTTAGAGTGGCGTTGGACTATGACAGATATATTGATCTCACTAAAGGAATGCCCTTCAGTAATCACAAGCTCGCAATATCAGAACTGTAGGCCTGTTCAAGGCGGACCGCAGCACGATGCACTTTAATCCGGATGTTCAGTTTCCGGCTGGTCTTTCGAAGGTATACCTTGTCGCAGTCTCTGCACTGAACTTCATAGATAGCATGTAACACATCTTCCAGGTTATTAATGGGCATGTACTTTTTAAGACCGTTTGTGGATGGTCATAGGGTTCGATGCTCCTATGGAGAGCCTGATACCTATGACATTACGGCAAATTTTTCTTCCTTTCTTTACGCACGATAGCCAAACTCACACTGAAACGGTACTAATTTACGTCAGAGCAAGCATTTGTTAAAGAAAATTTCGAACGGATAAAAAGCCATTCTTACCCTGTGACAACTGTTTGAGGTTTGAACCTCATACCGATGTCCATTGCGAGCTTGTCGAGAGACA